TACTTGGGGTTCCGGGCATGCCTCGTTGCAGGCGCCAAAAAAAAAACTCGAGACAGTAATCTGAAAGGTTGTCTTTGCTCGGATCTTGCCAAGTGTGGGTTTTGGATGCACAGACAAAAGTATCCAAAGTGTGGACTCAGCGTGCTACTTTCTTTTCGCGCAAAGAGTACTTCCGTAGGGCAATCCTTTCTTTTCTCTCGACTTTTCTGGATGCATGATGGCTCGGAGCAGCGTCTCAACATATTCCCATTCCTCAAGCTATGCGGCTATGCCCAGACTCCGGCTGCTGTTCATTCGACAAAGGCGTAAAGCTTCTGTTGAGTATCAAATCCTTTGCCGTTCTTTGTTGGTCCAAGGTAAGAAGGGAGAGAGGATGTGTCACAGGAGCCAGGAGTATGTGAGTGATATGCTACTTCCACCACATGATGCAAAATCAACGGCCCGAGAGTATTCGCGTAGTACTGCAACATCTTTTCCTCGTGATTTCCGATCTGCACTGCTGTCATCGGCATAAGGTCAAAGGCTTGAATGTTGGGCTTCAGTCGTATTGTACTAGCTGTTGGTATTCTCAAAAGGGCAACTCCAAACGCTCCAAAATTTGTAAAGACTTTTTTGAGCATTCTGTCTTGAATCACAGTACTGCTGGTTTGATAGAGTTCTGCTTGGCTTTTCCTTTTTGATATAGACCCCAATATCCTGGACTACATAATTGGAAGCTTGTGCAAAGACACCCTGTAGACAGAGGCCACAAGAACTCGACTTGTATCACACTACCATGTACAGAGGAATTTTAGCGGTATGATGAATAGGGTGGCGTTTAATCCCTTGACGAATTTCAAACCGCTTCTTGTCACCCCGAGTGCAATTTGCATTTTATCTTGGGGATATTGTCAATTGTGACGTTACATGCCCCAACGCATGTAATAAACACCAGGTTGATAGGATCTTCTTTTCGAGATCTCCCTGGAAATACTATGCCGTCCTACACACAGGCAGGAGTATGTAGAGCTCCTAGAGAATTCGTTAGTCTTCTGTGCGAATAGCTTCTATTCACTTTTTGGTGAACCAAAGGGACGAGACCCACGGGTGACGGAGGTATGCGAGCCCAAAGGCTAAGGCTCGAGATCCTGAAGCTGTACCTGATGCAAGTAACAATTTTCGACTCACATTGTAAGCGAGTATCTTGCAAAGATATACCATCTAGCGGTGCAATCTGGGTACCCATCGCGTGTATAGGTCACTTTAGTCTTGTGTTTACCACGTAAGAGTCCCGAAATTGCGGACTGATCTAATTTGTATGACGGACACTCGTACTCAGAAGAAGAGTGAGTTTTTCGATTATGAAATGAATGAAGCCGATGGTAAATCGACGGGCTTTGCGAGCGAGTTTTCAGCTGCCCCAAACAGAACTACGTGATTTTTGAATTAAATGTCCATGGTTTCTGCTGTGGCGTTTCTAGTTTTTGTACAATTCATACACATTGATAGGGGCTGAGACCGGAGCTGGCACTCTGAATAGTGAAATTATATAGGATTAATCCATGCCAGAGTGAATCTTGCGTCTTGATGCTGTATTGAGCATGTGGCACGAGTTCCATCGTGAAAGTAGAAATGGACCTCACGCAATCATGTCAAACATCCCACGAATCATGATTTCTTCCAGATATTATGGGAACGCTCAATGGTATTGTCGTCTTCTCGTCGGTATTTCAGAGTTGAAGCTCTGCCAAAACTTCATGAAGTGAACGAGTGTCAAGAGTGACTTGTTCTGGCCATTCAATATAGGTATATGAAAATACTGGAGGCATGCAAGAGATGGAGAAAAAAACCTGAAGATAAAGGTCGGCTCGAACTAGCGACCTCTCAATTTCGAGATTCAGATAGGTGAGGGAGGTCAAGAGGGTGATGAGGAATGAGGACGGATCCTGAAAGTTGCATCGCTCCATCACCAGGATTACTAGTAATTACGATGTTCAAAAAGGGAAGCTGCCCGCTATGGCATCACTTTGGTACTGCTTGCCACTCAAGGCTGCCCATCTCGGCACTCTAAGGATAGAGTGTTAAAGGCACAATCATACCGTTCGGCCGTCGTCTACAACGGACGATGCTTCCTTGGAGGAACAAGCGCACTCCTGGGCCCTATAAGGGGTTCTCACCGCCCCATCGAACGCACATTCCCTCTGGAATCCAATGAGCCCATGATCATCGATTGGTATTTGTTAATGCACCTCGTCACGGCAAAGAAAATGCCATGAGTGGAGCGCGTGAGGCATACTGTGATGTTATTGACAATTTCATATTCTTCATATATCTTTCAACAATTAGATATCTTACGCCTATTGTGACTACAATTCTCGTACCAGATTCACCTTTGTCATTCCTCCCATTCAAATATAGGGCTACAACAAGGCTCAAGCGAACTCGGCCTCATCAATATTCCTCAAAAAGATGGTGTACCACTTGACGAGGTTAACGTGGCCCTTGACGCTCGTCTTCTCATCAACGGTGTGAACACCCGCCCACTCGTCGCTCTCGGGATCATATCCGGGAAGGAAACGGAAGATGTGCTGCGTCAGGTCCCAGTAGTACCGGGTATCCGTGTTGCCCGTCATGATACCCGGCGAGACAACAATCTCCTCACCGTACAAGGCACGCGTGGTGCCCGACAGAATCCCGTACGGCGTCACGCCCTCCACCGACGTCGGCGTCACGGGCGCGGGCTCGAGCACTTTATCGTTGCTCTTGAGCGTGATGCTCGACGGCGTCTCGGCCTCGTCGTCGAAGGCGTGGAGGGTGAGGTTATACTTCTCTGCAACGGGGCGCACGACGGCGGCGAGCTTCTCCTGCACGCTGGCCGTCTTGTCGCCGACGTTGACGCGGTGGTTGACGACGGCACGGACACGCTCCGGGAGGGCGTTGATCTTGACGCCGCCTTCGATGATGTCCGTCGCCACGGAGGTGGTGAAGAGGTACTTGACCTGCGGCCCAGCCTTGGCGGCCTCCTTCGCCAGGCGGTCCGTCTTCTTCTTGCACATCTGCTTGCTGGTGTCGGCGGGGAGCAGCCTGCGCAGGTTGTCGGGGAACTCTGGCGCGTACGAGGCGCCGCACTGGAGCTTCTCGAGGTATGGGTTTCCGGAGATGAGCTCGGGGGCGTAGAGGTTTGCCTCGATGTGCGTGATGAGCTCGGACAGGATGCCGATGCCGGTGTGCTCGGGCGGGATGGAGCTGTGGCCGCCGGGGGTGCGGACGATGACCTCGACGTCGACATAGCCCTTCTCGGCCGTGCCGGGGATGGCAAACGTCTGGCCCCACTGGGAGTCGAAACCGGATCCCTCGTCGACGATGATAGCGGCGCCGTCCTTGCCGTAGCGCTCCAGTAGGAACGGTGCGAGGTGTCCCGCGCCGCGCTCGCCGGAAACCTCCTCGTCGAAGCCAAAGGACAGGACTACGGTGCGCTTGGGGGAGAAGCCGGCGTCGATCAGCAGCTCGACGGACTCAAGGATGCCAATGAGGGAGTTCTTGCAGTCCATGGCGCCGCGGCCCCATACGTAGGTCCCATCGTAGGCACCGCTCCAGGGCGGGTGCGTCCAGCTGTCAATGGTGGTGGGCGCCACGGGAACGGTGTCCTGGTGGGCCATGAGGACGGTAGGCTTGAGGCTGTCATCGGAGCCCTGCCATGTGTAGAGCAGGCCGTGGGTGTTTACGCGCTCGAGGCGGAGGGTGTCGTGGACCTTGGGGAAGGTCTTTGCGAGGTAGGCCGAGAAGGGGAGAAGCTTGTCCCAACGGTCGTCGGCGCCGACCGGGCCGTAGTTGTCAAAGGACTCTGTGGGGATCTGAACGGCACCCGAGAGGCGGGCGACCGTCTCATTGCGGAACTTGGGGCTGTCGAGGTATGAGTCCAGCTGGGTGAGGCCAGACGAGTTCTGGGTCGGGAAGAGAGGGTCGACCTGGCGGCAGGCGTTGGCGGCGGGGGAAGCGTTGCGGTGGTGACCGATGAACGGAATGGCCGAGGCGGACGGCTTGTGAAGGTAGGCGAGGAGGAGGGCGGCGGGGATGAGGGACCACCACGCGGTCCGGCGGCGGCGTGGCTCCGGAGCTGTGAGCTCGGGCGCCGGGTGCGCGAGGGGGAGTTTCTCTGACATGACGACTATCAATGGCACTCAATTGAGACAATGCTATGTGATGTGCCAATCCTGTCTGCTGCTCGCTTGTGTGCAGAACTTTAGGGGCGTTGGATGTGAGTAGTTGACGCGAGTGAGTGAGTGAGTGAGTGAGAGTTGAGAGTGAAGATGAGAGTGAGGTCGAGAATGAAGAGGTGAAGTCATGGAAGAGGACGCGACGGCGTTCATCGGTGGTGTGCTACCCCACGAGTATGACAAATGAGACGAATGAGTGCACGACGTGTCAATCGATGGTCTCCCCCCGATTTCCCCGCCGTTTCATCCGAAATGGCACTCAAAAGCACCTCGAATGCTCCGATCCTTCGGCGCCGTTATCGCAACTGGTCATGGACGGCATGACGGTGCGGATACCTCAACTTGGGTTGATAACGATATCGGGATTCCTGCCCACCCATCTCCAACTTATCGAATCTTCAACTCCTCATGCGGGGCTCAAAAGCGTTGTGCAGCTTCCGGATTGGGACCTCATCGGCTTCAATCGGCTGGCTTCACACACCACCCGGCCGGGATGTTGCTGACCGGGCAGTGGGATCGCCTTCCTTGCAGCTTCTCCTCGGCTATTTGATAAAGCTGAAGCTTGAGCTCTGCTCGGCTCTTTGGCTGAATTCAGGATAGCTTCCATTCGGAGCGACCCCCTGTATCGGAGCTTTATCATTCGAATTGGGATCTTATGTGGGACTCGACCGTTGAATTAAACCTCACCAAATTGTACGGCATCACGGTTAAGGATAGAGTAACGGTATCACCTAGCCGAAGGTAATATTCTTCAGCAAATTCATCATTATAGACGTAAAGACTGGTGGTATCTATGCAATCCGCTCATTTGCCCTTCTTCAGCCCCTCCATTCGCGTCCGCGCAGCTCTCAAAAGAGCCCACGCAACCAGCCGATACACAATCACACACCCAGCCAATGCCGCAATATTGACATTCGGATCCACGTTGAACTTGTACAATTCGAGCACATCCTCGCCCGTCTCCACCGGACACCGTCCATCCGGTAGCCTCTGCCCATCCTCGCACGTGAACGTGACAGACGTTAAGCTGTATGGCGCCAGGGCCCGGGTTCCGTATCTGATGGGCGAGAGGTAGTTGAAGATCTTGAACAGCTCGGGCATATCGATGGATAGAACACCTGCCATCGTGTTGGCAACAGATAAGATCACCGACGTAAGGTTCACGGCGAATCCCGTGTGGTTGAAGAGCGTATTGAACATGATGCCCACCGATTCGCCGCACGAGACGACGCCAAAGCACGAAAACACGCACACGAAGTACATCGTCACCGTCCGCGGGAACCCCACCGCCAAATCCGCAAGCACGCCAAAGATGAGGCAGCTGATAATCTCAAAGGGGAACTCGAGCACAGAGTACGCCGCCAAAAACGCCTCGACGCTGTACACCCCGTCGTCGTCCTCGCGGTAAAACACGTCGCGCTCGGCAGGGTAGACGGCGACGTTTTGTAGCATACCCACAAAGTAAAAGGCGCCAATCTCCTGCACGAAGCCCATGCGGTTTTGCACGGAGTAGTAGTCGTTCTTGAGCGGCGAGAAGAAGAGCGCGAGGACGATGCCCAGGCCCACAACCTGCATGATGCGGGCGAGGAGCAGCGGCGGTTGGCGGCGGAAGTTGATGAGGCCGCGGTGGACGAGGAGGGGAAAGGCCACGAGGAAGGAGGCACGTTTGCGGACGAGAGCGCCTAGCTCGGCTGGAGTCGCGAGATTTGCCTTGTTGAAGGCCAAGGCTTTTCGAGAGTGTCCACCATTGGCCGGCCCAGTTGAGGTGCGCGTGATTGCTTCATGTTCATGGCCCTCGTTGATGCTGGGCAGCTCTCCCGTCGTCTTGACTACAGGCATCCTTGCATGTCTCTGCCATGCGCCGATCAGAGCCTCGACTTTTTCCCTGCTCTCGGCCTCTCTTGTCTCTTGTTGGAGATTGATCGTGACGAGGTCCAGCGCAAAGTCAGCCGGGTTGGTGTGAGCAGGACAGGTGAATCCCTGACGCTCAAAATAGGGCAGCATCTCCGTCGCCGATCCGGCATACGCAGGCGACCCTCCACGGGCAAGTAGCAAGACGTTTCCAAAGTGCTTGAACAAGTCAGACCGCGCCTGGTGAATCGTCAGAATCAGCGTCCGGCCCTCGTTAGCGAGACCTTGCAGGACCTCCATTATGGAGCTGGCCGTGAAGGCGTCCAGCCCACTCGTCGGCTCATCCAGTAGTAGCACGAGTGGGTCGCTGAGAAGCTGTACAGCAATGGTAACCCGTCGTTTTTCACCTCCCGAAATGCCCTTGACCAGCTCATTGCCCACGAGGTTATCTGCGCAGTCCTTAAGACCCATCTTCAGCAACACCTCCTCTGCGCGCTTGGATTTCTCGTCGCTGCTCATGTGGGCTGGTAGGCGTAGCCCGGCAGAGAACCGGAGCGTCTCTCGTACCGTGAGAGACGGCAGGAGGGCGTCGTCGTCCTGGCATACGTATGAACACACCGAGCGGATGACCGAGTTAGACGGTAGTGCGTTGTTGAAGGTGAGCTTTCCCGACAGCCTATAGCGTGTGCTAAGGCTGCTGGGAAGTCGCAAAGACATGGCATTGAGAAGAGATGTCTTGCCACTTCCCGAAGGGCCCATGATGACGTTCAGCTTCCCTGCCTCGAACGTCGTACTCACAGGATTAAGAATTGTCTTGGTTGGGAGCTTTTTGCCCGAAGCTACTCTTTTGTCCAAGGCCAGAGCAAAGTCCTCCAGTCCTACGTCGATGGTGCGGACTTCGGAGATGGAGTGGGTCTTCATCTTTTCCTTGCCGGCTGATAGATCAGTGTCTGACACTCTAGCACGAGCAATGGTCATCTCTTGCTTGATATACTGTAGTCCGATGGCGGATAAGATGCAGAACAAGACGACGAATGCAACGAGCACGACAATGGGCCTCCATATCCAATTCCGCGGAAACCCGAGAGACTCCATGATGAATCGGCCCGTGTACTGCACGCATTCTGGGTTCGAGGCCCCGCCCTCCAATGGGCAATCGTAAAATGAACCCTCGAACTCGTTGCCACAATAGGCGCCAAAGGAATAGAACTGGGCAACATTAGTATGGCCATGCCGAAAGCTCTTCTGTTTGGACTTACCGAATATGTGATCCATTTAAGCCACCGCACGTACACCGGAATCGAGTTCGCTTGGATGAACATGCCGCAAGCCATGCTTTGCAGGGTAAACACCATATTGGCAATCAGACTCGCACCGGGAAAGTTTCTCGACGCCGTGACGCATGTGATTGCGCAAGTCACAGCGATATAGTGATTCAGCACCGTGATGGCGAAGAAGATGAAGAACTGGCTGGCATCTCGCTCAAAGCCGCCCATGAAGTAGAAGATGATGGAGAATAGGAACGGCACGGGCAGATCTTCAGTGAAGAGCCGCGCCAAGCGGCGAGAGAAGAGGAACGGGATCGCATCAACGCACGATTCGCTATGCTCGCGATCGTAGGTTGGGATGTCGACGGTGAGTCGGTAGACCTCGAACATGAGAGTCAGGTATCCCTGAAGGCCTGCAGCAGTGTAGAGCGCGCCTTGGCGGGAGCGGATACCCGAGAGGTCTCTGGGTAGGTTGTAGAAGATGTAACCCGTTACGAGGGCCATGAGGATCGCTTCCGTCGTTGATGCCAGCATTCCCATTGGGTCACGATACGTGACTTTGAATGTTCTATTGGTCAGGACTCGTAGTTGTCTGGTGTAAGATGCGTGCTTGCTGGTCTTTGAGGTTGGACTTTTCCCCCTTGATGTGCTCTCAATCGCCTTGTCTGTTGGAGCAAAAATCGTTTTACTCTCGTGAATCCATGCTTGCTTCAACTGACTGACCCGTTCCGTTGTCTCCTGCTCCAGTTCTGGCGTGCGATTGTCTATGGCAGCGATGTCGATGACATATTCGGCAGGGTTCACAAAAGGGGGCAGCTTGAAACCTAGACCCTCGAAGAATGGTACGCAGTTCTTTGCGGGGCCCGAGAATACCGGACTCCCCTTGGTGAGAATGATGAGGTTGTCGAAGAGATCCCAGATTTCCGACCGAGGTTGATGGATAGTGGTGATAATGTTTCGCCCCTTGGTAGCCAGCTTCTTCAGCGTGCGCATCAGTTGAAAAGCACTCGTCGCATCTAAGCCAGTTGTCGGTTCATCGAGAAAGAGGACCGACGGGTTGGCTAGCAATTGAACTCCGATGCTGACTCTCCGCTTCTCGCCTCCAGAGCATCCACGGTGCTGTCTATCTCCTATCCTCGTGTTGGAGCATTCTTTAAGACCGAGTTCCAGGATGACCTCTTCCACGATGCGTGCTCGCTCTTTGGCAGTTGTCGGAGGCGGTAACCTCAGATCGGCAGAGTACTGCAGCGTCTCGCGCACAGTCAGCGAGGGCAGGAGAATATCCTGCTGCATGACATATGCGTGCCGCGCGTTGTGAATGCCCTCACTGCCATTGAAGGTGATATGACCACTTTGGGCGAGTCGCGCACTGATCATGCGTTCCGATAGCGTATTTAGTAGCGTTGTCTTACCGGAACCGCTACCGCCAATGATGGCTGTCAGTGTGCCCGGTTGCAGGGAAGCGTTAACGTGGTAAATCAGATTTTTGGAGCTTGGTTCAGGGTTGAATTTTGACTTTGCCAGCTCGGGGTAGGTTGCAGGGTCCCACCACGAAGGCGAGGTGTCGACAGTGACAGCTAAATCGCGTATCTGGACATCAACTGCTTCGACTTCGTCGAGGGAGATGTGACCGGCGCCAGAGAGCGAGAAGCGCGCCGCGTCAGGTTCCTCCGGGACATGTGGATGAGCCGATTTCTCCATGGAGCTTTGGCGGTCGAACTTGTCCATCTCCACCACGATTGCTCCGTCCTCGTTGGATAGCGGATTCGATGTCGAAGACATGGTTGTGGGCGATTCAACCGTGACGAGTAAGACGATGCGTAACAAACGGCGACCGCGAGCGCATGCCGGTTGGCGCTGGCTGCGAAAGCAGAAATCCGCTTTTGATTTCTTGGGCCTTGCTAGAGTCTCACTCTTGCAAATGTAACCAAGTCGAGAGCTGTGACCTGTGCAGAGACGCTCCAATGACGTTTCCTCCAAAGATCGACGGGGCTGATATTAGAGGGACTAGGTTGCCCGGCGGGATCTAGAAATCAAGCCGCGAGGCGTTGAGAGGAATGGTCTCGGGCGGGAAGTCGGACAAGACAAAAGCCAAACGAAGAAGAAACGCCATCAGATGGGGTGAAGATGACAGACGCCACGGAGGAAATGGAGAGGATGACATGGACCTTTTCTTAGACGAGCGGTTCAGTGGACGTTGGGTCAAGTGCATACATCCGCATGAGTGGCATGCAACCTCAAGCCGAGGGGTCCAAGGATCGCGCGTGCAGGACAACACCCATGCGGCCATGTCCATGCCCCCCTCCGTAGCGTAGCTTGAGCGTTCTGTCTTTGACATTCTGGCTAAGCGACCTTGGCCGGCGAAGCGAGGGCGGATACTCACGCAAGCGAGCCCAGGATGTGTGTTACCGCAGCTGCACGTTTTCACTAAACACTCCCCCACAACCCTCCCACATTTCCCTCCCCCACCAGCCCCCAACTTCGAAGAGGTCAGTCAGGCTGGCAGTTGTGTATGAATTCTCTGCACGCTAGCAGCTGTTCCTTCTCTTGTGATTTCGTGCTTGTGCTTTGAAACTTGGAAAAGGTCAGCAAGTTGTTGTGAAATGAATCAGTTTGATGGTCTGGAGGCTCTGATGTGAAGGGTACGTACTCCTTGGCCGAGGTAACTCGAGGTCATCGACTTAAACGAGGTCGGTTCTGGCTCTGATCGACCCATATGCCAATGCTTGCGGGTATGCGATATGGGTGATTGCCAGGCTTTCAAGCAACTTGTTGCAAGTGCTTCGTATTGACTTGCCAATCGCCTGAACGCGCCAAGTGGGCGCAGGAACGAGCAAAAAGACCTGTTGAGCTGGAGCAAAATTTTGGTCTTTGGTTGGTAGCATTCGTAATTGAGTGTTTAGCGACATTTGATGGTGGAGGCGGATAGCAATGGCGCTAGCATGGATGGCGGGCGAGGCGAGCAAGGGTATCCGTACGGATGGATCCAATACCGGTACGCATCACCTCGTAGAGTCGTAGCAGGCATCCTCTCGCCCTCTGTGCCTCTTCACTTCTCAGCTCCTAATCTCACATAATACTAACCCCTGTTGTTGATGCTTACGCCCTGCATCCAGATAACCCAAAAGGCATTGCAAGTGGCCTACTTGAGCGACTTCAACTTTAGGGAAGTGCGAAAATCCCGTTGGCAATGACAATTGTGGGGGTCGAACCATAGGCCGTTCACGTGGAATTGCTCTTATAAACTTGGATTGTCATTTCGAAGTAAGTAAAGTGTCAATTTCGGGACGTGGGAGAGGGCCACGATGTCATATGCTCGTCAGCCTTAAAGGCGGCAAATCACAGTCCCTATTGGTTCTTGGACTTCGCTGCGTAGCTCGCCCTATTTCTTGACACCGCTGCCGTAGGCTGAGTATGATTTAAGAGGCAATAGATTTTGTTTCTGCTTATAGGTAACAATGAGTTCGACGCCCTGGTATGGTGAGTGACTTAACTTTCCACCCTTACCCGATGGCTAAAGTTTGTTGATGCAAGCTGAAAATGAGGTTAGGCTTTGGAGAATAGTATGCCCTCAAAATAGATAATTAAAGTATATCAGTGACATGGCCGAGGTAAGTGATCGATCAGCGTAGAGGCTTTAGAGGTATTCATAAGTTGGTTTATCACTCGTGGTCACATGTGTCCTAGGGGCGGGCTCTCCTTCCAGCCATCAAGGATGAAGGACGTGCAATGTTGTTCAAAAAATCGTGCAACTGTTTCTACTATTTGCATGTGGCCAACACATCCACAGGCCTAGATCATAAGGACTCATCATCAAACTACTGTAATCAAAACGTGGTTTGCTACCGCTGCAATTGCTCGAGTTGAGTGTTAATTTGGACTAGCTTTGTTGAACTTGCGTACTACTGATTTATCCACAAGTCACAAAATTGTTCAGATGTCAAGTTCACAGGGGCTCTCTAAATATTAGCTCAAACAAGAACTGCGGTCCGGGGCTACAGGAAGCAGGAAACTTGAACATTCAAACGTCACTTTAAGGCAACACAAAGACACCAGAGGGCACATGAAATGATAAGGCTACTGATTTGACATCAAGAGATCCTCAGTGAGAGGAGCTTAAACTGCCGAAAGGTAATCTCAATCAGTAGATAACTGGCCAGTCCGACTCCCACCGAATAAGGTTGATGCCCAACAGAGCAGCATTGGCGCTGTTGTAGTAATGGTACACAAACACATCAGCGTCCGCGTCCGTAAACACAGACGGGTGACCGGGTCCGTAGATGGAGCCATGAGTAGCCATCACCTCAGTACCGCCACCGTTCAACATGCTCACACCGTTGCGATCAGTAAACGGGCCCGTCACGCTGGTAGACCGACCGACCATGGTGCGGTACGTGCTCGAGGCGCCCTTGCAGCAGAAGTCGAACGAAACCCAGAGGTAGTAGTAACTCCCGCGACGTGTGATGAAGGGTGCCTCAATGGCACCGTCGTTGACGGTGCGGCGGGCGAGGGAGACGAGGTTCGTGCCGGAGCGCTTGCCGGTGCTGGGGTTGATTGAGATCATCTTGATGCCCGTCCAGAAGGATCCAAAGGACAACCACCAGTTGCCGCTGGCGTCGACGATGAGGTTGGGGTCGATGGCGTTGTAGTCGACGGAGCTCGAGGATTCAATGACCAGGCCCTGGTTCGTCCACGAGCCGGAGGCACCGGTGGAGCTCGTGGCGAGGAAGATGGCGGACTTTTGGGAGCCAAAGGTGGACGCCGAGTAGTACATGTAGTACTGCCCGTTGCGGTAGGAGATGTCTGGGGCCCAGAGGTTGGTGTCTCCGCCCGTGTAGGCGGTTGTCCACGAAGCGCCGTTGGGGAAGGCGGCGCCGGCGTCACGCCAGACGGTGCGGTCGGTGGACGTCTTGAGAGCGATGTTGGTTCCCGTGTGGGCCATGAGGTATGTGCCGCTCGACGTCTTGAGGACGGACGGGTCATGGACGTTGACGCTGCCGGAGACGGCACCCGGATTCGGGTACGCTGCGGAGACGTTCGGGATGGCTGATAGGATGGTTAGAAGGCCACCGAGCAGGCCCTTCCATGTTGGCGCCATTGTGAGTCGCGAATCTCTTGTCGAGTCTCTTAGCTGGTACAGTTGCTGGGGAGGTGGAACACCGGTTGCCAAGACGAATCTCCAAAGGTAGAAGAGGCCGACTCCGTAGGTTGCCAGTTCCAACAGAGATGAGGTCAAGCCGCACCTGAGCCTTATTTATCTTTCAATTCGAAGAGCCCAAACGAGGTCATCTTGGCTACCTGGGCTGTCTCTCTGCCCTGCCTAGGCATGTTACCTTGAATCCCGGGTTCGGCAGACGGAGCTTTGATAGGTGCAAACTACTTGGAAAATTTCCCATTGGTCCTCTTATAGACTGAAGCATGGGTGTCTGCCGGTAGTTGGTAAGATACGTGGATTTAGTCAACTTCTTATTTTCCGTGTGTTCTCACGTTGCCAAGGAGCCCCATCCATTGGACTCCAAGCGCACCACGGAATAATCTCCAACCCCCGCGGAGACTTTGGTCCCGTGATTGTTCTTGGTGTACTTGGGGTCTTACCCCAAGAAGAAGAAAACCAACGCGTGGGGCGATGGCTGATGGTACGAAGCAAACCGTGTTTATGAATCAAATGTTTACGAATTCTCGTGCCGTACTCAAAATTGTCTGTCACTCTTACACGCCTGTCTACTCGAAACTCTCCCTGCGTAGCTGTTCATTTAAAGGGCTACTGCAGGCCCGTATGTTGCAGCTCATATCTGATAACGCCAGTTCTGATCGCGTGCAAGAGGAGTCAACGGTATCACATTACCGTGCTGTCTGGAGGACATGCTGGTATCGTAGCGATACTCGTAGCTCATGCACGCAGTCAAACATGGACACACGCGCTCAAATGACATAGTCTTGAACAAATTGATGCAGCATGTCGAGTCACAAATTCCTAAAACCGAATATTCACCAAAAGCGGCGAGCGCACTCCCGAATTTGAATTTGTGCTTTCCGCATCAAACATCTCCCTCCTTCCGGTATTCGCTGACATATTCGAATTGTGAATCAGCCTCAGGTACCGAAGCATTCTGAACAATGTTGTGCATGTCAGATTGGATGTACCATGTGTAAAAGCGAAAAGTAGGAAAGCAGGCAATAGTTTGTTTGCGCTACAGCCGCAAAGAAAGTGGCGACAGCATGACCCAACGAGCAACATCATAACATGCGCGCATCCTGATATTGAACACCATCATCTCATAGGAACGGACGAACGGCATTCTGCGCTAAGCGTTTATTTTCAATTTGCTGACGCTTTCACGCTTGATCAAAGGTGTATCTCATTTTAGTAGCATATAGCATTGCTTGAAGTATTCCAAAGCATATCAATACGAAAATGAAGAATTCATCTGGATAGTACTAGCACGGAGAAAGAGTTCAATTCCGTTTGTCGCCTGGATCTCGAATGATCGGATGACTACGGCGCTGTTGAACGTTTACCTACATCACTCCACGTATAAGCCGTGGAACAGACTATCAACACACGTTCTCGGTTCTTACGCACTCCCGACTGTTCAAGAATCTGCATGAAGCCCATGCACTCCTCCCAGAGATTACAGCTGGAATTGACAAGTAACTAGATCATTTCAACTAGATCGTGTTTGTTTGGTTAAGATGTCAGAAGATAGCCTCTTTCGTCGCTAACTCCCTCATTTCCAAAGCGGCTCAGAGTTCGGAACACACAGAAACCAAGGAAGTGGTGC